GTAGGTTTGAGTTCCTCCTGCTCATCTCAGTGTCCACGTGCAGAAGATGTTGCTCTCAATCTTAGGCATCTGGCACTCATGAAATCTTGCTTATAACAACTGCTTATAACAACCAGACAACTGGTGGCCCCAGGCCTCTTCCTCCACCCAAGGAGAGTGCTGGGCCTCTGCCTCCCAAGCCCCAAAGCTGATTAGTGTTGATATTCACCTGCTCGACCTCTCCAGATGCCAGGACAGGCCACTAATCTCAGGACCAAAATTCATTAGCCATTCAGAGTTAAGCATATTTGAACGACATTTATAAAAAAGAGGAATATAAAGTATTATAACATGAATCGAGGATTTCTGCCCAAGAACTGTTTGTTAGTCTATACCTTTGAAATTACTTTGCCTATTAAGTTTTTTCAATTTCTTAATGAAAATTTATTCTATAAAGCCCAAATAGAATTTTGTTTTAGTGACTGCTGGTTCTGAAATGATTCTTATTGGATCTTCATAAGATGGCTCCATTAATTTTGCTTAGAATTGAGACTTAACCAGCCTTTGCTAAATCCTTTACACTTTTCAAATACCTGCAAAGTTACAGTTGTGCTAGCACAGTGAACATAGATTTACTGAGCACCTATTATGTACGTAGCAGGCCCTATTCTGAACACTAAAGATAAAACCTTGAAAAAGACAGAATCTATTCCTCTGCTTATATTCTAGAATAGTGTTTCCCCCACACTTCTGGATTTTACACACTAATACAACAGCCAGAAAAGTTGGGAGGTTAATATATTTATTTTGCTAATCTAAGGACACTGAAAATATTATCTCCTCTCATCATCATATATTTTGAAGACCAAAAGGCTAAAAGATATAATCTAAGAACAATGGACAGTTCTTTACATTGAGCTCTATAAAATCTTACTCAGGTCCACTCGGCACAGAGTGGACCTGCCCTTGTTCAAGGGAGTAACTACTGAGAGGCCCTTCGGGATGGGGCCCCATCTAAGAATCCTCTTTTTACCCTGTTGCTTGCACAGTAAACAGAGTAAGGAGCCTCTTTCTGAGTAGTCTAAAATCTAAACTTGTTTTCGTTGTACCTCATTTTAAAGTTTCAAGAGTTTATGGACAGGCTAGCCTGGGCCCAAGGTTGATATTTAATAAATGCTTTGACAGCCAGGTCAGGAACTGGAGGTCAGAGGGTTCATGGTAATGAAAGGGGTTTTCAGCAGATGACCACAGTATCCTTGTAGAGCAGAGCCAGCTTAGTGCATGATCAATAAAAAGGTTTTGAACCAGCAAGATTCTGAGGGGAAAGAGAGGAAAAGTGAAGGATCAGGTGTCAATTTTTAAAAAATGCTTGTATGAATGCTCACACTATCTCCCTAGAAAAATCTAGTAGGGTACTTGTTTTCTACTAAAAATATTCCCATGGAATTATAATTGCAAGAAAAATACTCTTCCAGGGTGGGGGCTAGAGAGCAGATGACAGAGCAACATAAAGAGAATTCTTTGGAAGACAATCAGAGCATAGTTGGCAACCACAGCCCCAAGAGGAAGTTTCTGTTACAATTACTCAGAATTAATGACCACCAGTTAAGAATTGTCAGATGCCCTTAGAATATGTGGCGAAACAATCTATAAGATGCATTTCTCCCTTGCTGAAATCTTTCTCAGCACTGATTCATGTTTATATGCACACTAGAGGCCTGGTGCACAATCGGGCCGGGGAAGGACCGTGGGAGGACTCCAGGGCGTGTCTGGCCTGTCTTGCCCAGTCCCAATTAGCCGGACCCCAGCAGCAAACTAACTTACTGGTCAGTTCATGTCATAGCGACTAGTCGAACAGTCGGACACTTAGCATATTAGGCTTTTATTATATAAAACTGCCTAACTTTACTGGCAGTTTCTACAGCCTTAATTCCTAACTGTTAAATTGCATCCCAACAAGCTAATTTAGCCAGATTATTCTTTCCAATGAGTGAATAAAGTTGTACTTCACATTCCAAGTGAGCATCTCTTTTCTGAACTATTTACCTGCAACTGGGAGAAATTTATGAAATACTGTCTTGATAAATTATTCATCTGACATGTGGGGTCAAGAAAGTGCTCCTGTTTGACTATAACCAAAATACATTGATATTTTAAAATAAGCTGCCAAAATAAATAAAATGCAGTATATTGTAGAGTAAAAGAAACAAAAAATTTAGTTACTGAGCTATGAAATATTCAGGATAATAAGTAAATTTCTTGCCTGCTAAGGTCTTGGGGTCCAGATAATGTTAACTAATGAAGCAGGCACCATCTTTTCAGCACGAGGTCCCTGCGGTCACCCTTGAAACACTGAACACAGCCGCTGCATTGTACTTTGAAATTTTTAATATTGGCTATATGTATTTTTTATTTCATCTGTACTGGGGCTATCATTAAAAAGAGAAAAAGATTGCTGGCCATTCAATAAAGCTACTGGGAAGATTGTATACAGGAACTGAACTCATTTACAGATATGGCTGCCTGTGCGACAGCCCAGTTCTTCATTGGAGATGCAGGTCACGTTTGAAGTAGCATCACAGCTGAGAATATGACCATTGCATTAAGAGTGCCCGGACTGCTGGTGTGAATATTCAGAGCCACACTTAAGGGATTATTTGTTAATGCAACCTGAACATAGACCATCCATGTCTCTGTGATAATTTATGGCTGCAATTAAGTGGTTACCATGGCAAACCACTTTCCACATTTTATTTGCATATCAATTGCTATATCTGAATTTTAAGAGAGTTGCAGTTTTCTTCTAGATCTTCCAACGATTCTTTAAAAATAGATCCCAATCCCTAGATTTACTTAAATTAATGCCTGCTTGGTCCACTTGCTTTCAAATAGTAGCTTTTTTATCTAATGACACAGCTGAGTTCTTTGTTCTCTTTATGTATGTGTGTGTGTGTGTGTGTGTATATATATATATATATATTATAATACAGTCCTGGGTGTGGAAACTCAAATAATTGTAGACCTGAGTCTACAGGTCTTTGCACTTAGTAGGCATCCCATAGAAACTCCTTGAGTGAAATTTAATTCTGGCTGCCTTATAGCAGTTCTGCATTCATTATTTTTTACTAAGGGATTACTAAAGGTTGATGAATTAGTAAATGTGCCATAATCAGTGCATTCTTACACTGATTTAGACATAGAACTATTAGGACTGATTTCTGGTGGAGGTGTTATCTGTCTGGAGAGCCAGAAATCAAGAGCCTTGTTTTGACGGTCAGAAGCTCCCAATGCCTCTTTCTCAGAAGGAAAACCAGGGGGGATGCTCCCTATACTTTCCCCACTCATTTTCTTTGAGGATATTTTGAAGTTGGGCAACCAAGGTCGCACTACCTTCTCAGAGAAAGCCAGGTGGACTTTTCAGTTGTAAATTTATGGGGCAAAGTCCCTGTGAAAGTCAGGAATCTCTTCCCCTTTCTGTCTGCTTTTTAAGTCCCTCTTCTTATCTCTCTCCCTTCCTTAGTGCCTGCCTGATCTGATCTTTTTGGCCTGGGAGTGAATGGGTAGGGCATGGGATAAATCAGAAAGGTTGCTGTGACCGGGTTGAGATGTGGTTTACCCTGTGAAAAATGACAATTAGAATATCAAGTCCTGGATAATGACCAGGTATATTTTATATGCCTATATCCATACTTCCACATACATTCTGTTTCATGACAAAGCAGTTCCACAAGCAGCAAAGGCAAAACTCTCCACTCTTCTCTCTGATTCTTACCCTTTTATTCCTCCCCCTTTCCCCTCTTCATAATGTCCTCCTTCATCCTCAATTATTGCTCACTTGCAATAAAGCTGAGTCTGCACACACCAAGTCCTGAGCAGCCACAGCCAGGAGCAGTTCCCATGAGCACACCCTCTACCCCAGCCCAGTAGAGGCAGAGTTCAGCCCCCAGCAATCTATCTGGTCAGACTGGTGGAGCAGCTTGTGAAGCAATCCTGCTGGACTGAGCAGGCTGTAGACAGATAGAGGGCTACAGGGAGTAGAGAGCGTGAGAGCCAACCAGACACAAAGATGCAAATAGGCCTAGGAGGGGAGACGGAAGACAACAGGCAGCCAGGCCGGCATCTCATGAGCTAGTTCAACCCTCATGGCAACCCCAGTGGAATAGGCCAAGCCAGCACAAGTGAGCCAAATCCTGAGCTCATTTTAATGGCTTCTGTCCCAAACCTGAGTCACTGGGGATTCCACAGATTTCAAGACAGCCCTTCATGCATTTCCAAAAACAAACTGCTTGATGCTGTCATGGAAAACCTGGATCTTTGCATTCTATGGTTTCACTATGGATTACATCCAGGTCACAACCTAAGGAAGACAGCTGGCAAATCACCCTGCTGGGCGATTACCCAGCTTTTGTAATGAATCCCAGAGGGCTATGAGCCGATGTGTGTTTCTGGCTCTGCCAAGTCCTGGACAAGTCCTCACCAATAAAGACCAATCAGTCTGAGATTTATTCTGCGAGGGAAGCCTGAGAAGCCACCTGCAATCAAGACTCAGCTGCTAGAACCTGCTCCAGAAAGGAAAGGAATGGAGAATGTATATGTCAAGGGGAAGAGGAGTGAAAGAGGTTCTTTGCTTCCCCTCTCAATTCAACTGCTATCTTCTGCTTTTTTAAAAAAACTGCTCTGAGGATACCTTAGTCACACCAAAGTCAGAGGACTGCTCTGTACTCTCCAGCCTTAACTCAGGCAGGCTTTTAAGGGGCCAGAGAATAGCACTATACAGTGGTTGATTTCAACAGAGCAAGGTCAATTATAAAGGCTTTTATAAAAGACACCCCTATTCCTTAGAATGCAGCAATTCTAGGAAACATAAAAAATGTACTAAAACCTGCCAAGAAAACAGAAATACTTGTAAGTTTTATCATATATACCTACCACTTATTATTTATTATGTGCCAAGACCTATATTTAAGCCTTTCTCATATATTATCTAATTTAATTCTCAAAACATTATACCCATTTTACAGGTGAGAAAACTGAGGCTTAGAGAAGTGAGATCAATTGGGCAACACGTCACAGCCACGTTAAGGTGAGATCAGGACTGATCCAGGACCATATGAGGCTTGAATTTTTAATTGCTATTAAGAGTGAGTATGGAACACCAAGGGCATTTATGCACAAATACTTAGGAAATGTCAGCTGGGTGTCCACATAATGGGCCTTGAAAGTAAATCCTGCTATCTGGGTCAACTTAACAGTGAAGAGTTGTATTTTATTATTATTTTATAAGTAACCCAGATCTTGAGATTTCCACTGAAGTAGCAGGTTCTTTCACACCAGCTTCTAAAGTAAAAATATCAAGATTATTTATGTTATGTTTTTTATAGACAACGAAGGCTATAACACCTGTGGCCTATTCTTTAAAATTAGGTATAATAAAGGAATATTCTTACAAATCTTGTAATTGCTCAACCAATTGCATTTTACAAAATTGCCATTTTTGCCAAAATGAAAGGTGCAAGAATAAATAGTCTGAATGTATTTCCAAAGAGTTATGCTGGCAACAGCCTCCTTTCTCACCATTTGTTTCGGTGTCAAATAGATCCAGGCAAGGCTGAGAGAAAGCAGGCAAGAGGAGAGAAACGACTGATGCTCACAGCTGCGGCAAGTCCTTGGCTGAGGCTGACCACATGCTGTTACAGATTGGCCAAGAGGAGAAAAAGCAAGTCAGCTGCTTCGACAAACTTTCTCAGCCATAGATCCAAGGACCATGACTGTCATTTATGTTGGCTTGAACTGCCTGGTGTAGACCTCCCTGAGGGGAGAAAGAGCCCACTGAGCATCCCTTACAGATGCCTCTCACCCAACCCCAACACGAGGGAGTTGGCGGACTAGTCCTTCTTTCCTGTGACAACTTCTCAGAGAGATGCTCAACGGAAAGGAGAAAAGCAACAGCTTTCCCTGTATTTCAGTGCTTAGTCTTAGATCAGTGGGCCCTAGAGAGATAGTCTGATTATACAGGAATTTATGCCTCCTGCCAATTTAAAATTTTTAGTAATTTCAGACTTAAGATCCTGTGTGTATGCAGGGGGAACATAAGTGATGGGGGTTGGGAGAAAGTTAAGATTTCTTTTAGGAAATCTAAACTTTGGAGGAGACCTGTGACCAACAGACTTGCACAGGGGATATGCTGCTACTTTCTTCTCTTCAACCCTTCTTCCCAGAGGCCTGATACAGTCAGAGAGAGAAAGAGGGAGATTGATAGAGAAGTCAGAAATAGCTCATTGGAGTGTGTGAATAATACCGAAGATATGTACTAATCTTTGTGCCAAAATGAACGTTCTTGCCATTTATGTGAAACAGCCAACAAGAGCACCAAAAAAATTGTTGGACTAGTCCACTTTCTTAGAGACTGAATTCAATGGACTAAACACTCTATTAAAAACTGCATGCAAATAGTCTTTAAGACTGAAGGGTATCTAAAGTTGTTTCTGCATGACTGTAAAAACAGGTGTGGTGGTATAGCCCAAGAAGTCCCAGCCCTTACTCTAAATGGCCACTAATTTGCTAGAAGATACTGTCTCTCAGGATGAAAAGCATTCCTAGGGATGACAAACCCATTTCACCTGCATACCAGCATATTGATAAAGCTCACTGTAAATGCATGGAAAATTGCCTCTCTGGTCAACCAGAACTCTTCAATAGGACTAATAAATTGTGTGCTGGCTTCCTGTCATTTGCATGTTCACACTGACTTCCTAAAAGCTTTCAGAATACTTCTCAACAAAAGTTTGAAGATATACACATGAATATAAACACAAATCCTTGAGGCCCTGTGTGTCTGAAGGGAATAAAGATAAACTTCAAATTTCAGAAGTGAATAAAAAAGAGGACAAAGTTTCTTCTTCCTCTAACCAAAGCTGAAATCAAAAGTCTAAGATAAAAAGAAAATCTAAGGTAAAGTCATATTTTCCAAACTCCCTATTTTTCAGAAGAGGAATGCCAGGATACAGAGAGGTGGTACATTTATCTCTGGGCCCATTACCCCCTACACACACATACTCCCCACTTAAGATTTGAAGAAGGAAAACATTTATCTTATCAGCTGTTTTTTGGGGAAAAAAACCCGTGTTTGATCTGTTTACTTGGAAGCCAGCCTGCTGAGCTCAAGAGTTTGCTATCAGGCAGACCAGAGTGAATTCATTTAGGCTGTTTCTTTCCAGGCCCAGACACCAGGCCCAGCGCTTATCCTCACTGTCAAGGAGTTCTGTGCACACACTTTAGAATTTGCTGAGGGATGAGTCATTGTGCCCTTCAGTTAGGGTTGTAGGTGGATTGCTGTTTCTCCTGTTAGAGCTCAGAACAATAAGCAGCTTGGTTATGATTGTTGAAATGTTCATTTCTTTTCTGAAAAAGCAAGAGTCTATCCCTCTGCTTCCTTGAGGATGTCTTCACTCTGCCTCGCATGTGCGCGTATTTCTGCCATCTAGACCAAGTCCCTTGAGCCCAGACAAACTGACTCCCTCCCTCTTGGCTCAGGATCCACCTTTCAAAGCCACGTGGCAAAGTCCATGAAAGAGCCGTTGGCCTTGGAAGTTTCTTGCAGTTCACAGCCTCCCCTCTCTAGCACTGTAAGGAGCTCATACTTTTCTCTCCACCAATTTCTAACCAGCTCATCAGTGAAAAATCCCCAGAAAGTGGAAGTTAGTTTATATTTTCTGATCTGCACGGAACATTCTCCAGGCTCCAGGAGACAGACAATTTAAACCAGCACATGAAACTCAGAGCAGCTAGCTGATACCAACTCCTTCCCAGCTTGCTGCTTCCCCTACCAAAGCTGAAATCATGGGGTTGGGCTGACTGGTGGCAACCAGCTCCCAGCTCCCCTCCCTGAATGGACTCCCCACACTCACATTCCTCCTCAGCATAGAGTGCTTGCTGCAGGTGGGACCTAACTCCTCAGTGGATGCACTATGTAGAAAACATGCTTTTAATTTAATGGGAAAAGCAGAGTCACAGTAGTTTCTTCAACAAAATCCAACAACTTAGAACCCGAGGAAACAGCAATGAACAGGAACATGAGAGCAGAGAACAGACACTTCCTCCAAAGAGGGGAGTAAAACGGGGAGAGGGGAGTGACCAAGGCAGCGCGCCCACGGTGCTGAGGACAGACTTTTGCAAAATCAACCTGACCAGACAGAAGAGGGTCTTCAAAACGCGCAGTAAGTGAGTAAGCAAGTGTGTGCGCCCTGCACAGAGCCCCTCCTGCTCCCAGGCCCCCTCCCTCCTCGCACGCTTACCTGCAATTCCTTGCAACAGCCCGCAAACGTTGAAAATACTTTTCTTCATGATGCTCTGCACACACATGGTGAAGACAGACACCAGGGCCACCATGCAGAGGATGAAGATGCCCGCGGCTAAGAAGATGGCAGTGGCCTGCCAGAAGCCGCTGGCGATCTCCCCGAAGTTCTCAGCGTAGGGCCCGCACAGCGTCTCTCGCGGGACGTGCTGCACCCCGGGGTTGCGGATGCAGCGGGCGTAGATGCCCAGGGTCGGGTGGTGGGGCTCCGAGAGGCCGCCCTGCTCCTCCAGATCCGTGCCGCCGCGGGTCTTGGCTTTCCCAATCAGCCAGTCTGCGCTCATGAAGGCGATGAGCTCTGCAAACGCCACCACAATACTCAGGAGGGTCCAGAGCATCGAGCGACAGGTGACAATGACATGACACATATTGCTGTTCAAGGCGGAAAGAGGCAGGAGTCCACGGAGTTAATAATAAAAAGCCGGTGGAGAAGGAGGCTCGGGCGGCCTCAGCAGGAAGTCGCTGCTGGGGGGACTCACTCCCACAGCCCAGGGTTCCTTTCTCCGGGATCCTGGCGCCGGTCCTGGGCTGTCATGCTGCCATGTCCGGGCTCCGAGCTCAGCAGCCTCACCTAAGGGAGAAGAGTAGGAGGCGGTCAGCAGCGCCAGGCCCCGCCCCTGCAGCGGCAAACTTGCCGGTCCCCAAACCCCAGTGTGAGCGCTGGCTGCGCCGCCCGACTCCCTGCGCTGCTGACCTTCCCGCAGTCTTCCACTCCCACCCCCCACCCTCCACAGCCACCACCCAGGTCCCCACAGAACCTGTGGAGCGGGTCCAGTCCCCAGCCAGCACGCGGCCCTTCTGCTGAGTTTGTGGTCTTTGTTTCCTTCCCAAACTCTCCGAACTGACTGGTGGTTACCCTTATCTCCAGGCAGCGTGACAAAGGCAAGAGGCCCTGCCAGCCCCTCCACCCGCCCCAGGGGCGCCCGCTCCATCATCTTTTTAGAAAAAGTCAAACAGCACAGGGATCCAGACAGATCTAGACATACTGGCAGTGAACCATCAACAGGCGGGCTTGCGCTTTTAAAAGTTCACAGGTCTCTTTGCCTGCTGTCTTGGTACTAGAGCAGCTAAGTTTGAAAAACTTGCACCAAAAGTTTTTGCTTAACAGCAGAGAGCAGCAACACCTAATTTTATTGCCTGGGAATCAAATTACCAACAGAGACATAAGAGTATTTGCTTCATGGGTAAAAGAGAATAAAAGGAAACAATGCCATAAAAAAAATAACACATTGCTACACAAACTGCTTTTTCAACCATTTCTCAGAGGGTCATTTTTAGATAAAATAAACTACACTAATTAAAATGCAAGAAAAAAAGAAACTCAAGAGTTCATGACTTAGTCACTTGGAGAAATTATTTAAAAATGACTATTGACTAAGTGTCTTTCCCACTGAGTGGATTTGTTGACAACAGAAACTTGCCTGTAAAGAATGAACTGTCCCGATTCATCACATGGGCCTCTGCCTGAGCGTCCACTCACCCCAGGTCTGGAACTCAGCATGCCCATTGTTTCTGATCTCACAAGGACTCATTCTCTTCCCAAGGACAAATGGCTTCATTACCAGAGGGCTTTGCTCTAACAGCTCAGCCCCCCCTTCAGAGGAGCCTGAACCCTGACAGGGGCCACAGTGCTCATTGGCAGCCCCGTTTTCTGCCCCTTCTCCAAGGTCAGGAAGCACTGCACAGCTCACATCTGACATCTGGGTGCATGGCTCTGTTCTGAACGATTAGATCTTATTAACCCAGGTCATGTCAACTGCATAAGAACTACAAAGCC